GATTTTTAAATTTGCGGTTTTTCTCTGGGCCAAAGGGTTTGCTGTATGCCTTTGATACATTCTTGGGAACTCCCTTATTGGGAGGGTCTACTGCCACGTCGTGCCAAATGGGGTTGAATTTTGGGTGATGATTTTAAATTATTGTTAAAGTGCCAAACCAAAGGGAAATTTTTTGTTATTGGAAAAGTGTCAAAACATAAATTCCTTGTAAGTCATAATTTTTTAAACCTCTGTAAGTTTTTCCCTAAATGGTTTCTCTGACTTATTTAGGATCGCCTTAATTTTTGGAATCTTTATCAGAATACTATAAAATATACAAAATCAATAAAAAGTATCCTACTTAAAAACTATAACATTTAACGGAGAAGGCGCCGTTGGCTTCTCTGACTGTTCTGCCCACTGAGCGTGCTGTGAATGCCTATGCATTCCATGGATCCATCTGTGTAGATTAGTGCATCTGCTACGTTTTAATTTTCACTGATGAGAGCGTTGACCTCTGAATTAACAGCAACAGGATTCTCTTCTCTGCATCACCTGTTGAGTGTGGCAATACAGAAAAATGTACAAATAAACGCATGAGGCACAGGTATCCACTCTGCACCAGGTACGATGTCGGTTAAGCTGCATATTTGCCTAATAACATCTTCTGCCTAACCTAGCCACGATTTTCCCCTCTTCAGTCTGTCACCCTTTTCACTAAAAAGCGCCTGATGCAGTGGGTGTTTCTTATCAGCACATATTTTGAGGTATGCCCGAGCCCTCCACATCCTGATCCTTTGGTTCATTGTTGGAAAGTCAAGTAGACACCTCATTGCTCAACAAAATGTGTCTCTTGTACATCCCAAAATAATGCACATGGCTTCATTTTGCACCTTTTCAAGTCGTTCAATCTGGGTAGCACTGACATGAGGATGGCCATGGGGGAAAGGACCAGACCGTAGAATAGAAGTATTAGTAGTCTTTGCTCGATATTGGAAACAGCATAATCCTCATTGCAGATAGACCTTTGCGTGCTTTTGTTATCACATGGTCAACGTGTTCCCTGAATGACAAGCTGCGATTGAACCTCCCCCCGAGAAACGTCATAACATTGGTTCTGATCAATACATTATCACGCATTTTCACTTCTGGTAAGTCCGACTTGACAATGTGATTGTTCAAAGAGAACCATAACACTGATGCCTTCGAAAGATTGACATAGGCATTGGAACCATCACACCAGGCGGCAATTCGATCGAGTTCTTTGTGCATTGTGCTGGTGATCTGCTGTCTATCACGCCCTCATCGATAAATCAAAATGTCATCAGCAAATGACAAAGTCCATCCCTTTCCATTCAACTACTGATCATTACCGTATAGACGTTGAATAAGACTGGTGATAGCTATGATCCCTGGACATATCATTTGCGTTTCTGAGGACCAGCTACGACATCTGAGTACTATCTTTCTCTGGAACAGGACCGCAACAATCCAGCGGATCAGAATAGTATTTACTTCTAGTTTAAGCAGTAACTGCATTAAATATTCATATTGGTACTTTATTGTAGGCATCTTCTAAGTCCAACAATGCCGCACAGGTCTCTTCTGTAATCTGAAATCCATGTCTCTTTATTCAACCTGTACCCTCCAAGTGTTGGTGTGAACTTATCGAGTAGTTCTAAGTAGGTGGTCAGTCTTTGTGCGACAATTTTCTCCAAAAGTTTGCCAACTGTATTCTGCATCGAGATGATTCTGTAGCCGCAGATCTTTGAGTGGTCTTTATTCGGCTTTGGTAGTTTGAATAAATAACTGTGGAGCCATTCCTCTTGTATCTGGCCACACTGGATGCTGATGTTTGCCACGCTTTTCAAATCAGCATTCGACATCATCAGCATGTCGTTGTATCGGATGCCGTCAGGGCCTAGAGCAGTGCTGCGTGATTTCTTGAGGCAAGTTCGTAAGGTATCTGCAGTGATTGTAAAATCAGTGCCTAGCACAGTGTTCTCGCACAGCATCGACAGTTTCATCTTAACCCCTATTCTTGCAGCTTCGTCTTACTGGTCAGTTTGCTCCAACTAGCGCGCAAGAAGGGTTCTTCCTTTATCAGCATCAGTTCTCTGCCATATCAGGTCTGTACCCTGAAAATCAGGGATACCCCTAGGTCGTGCATGCTTCGTTGAAGGCGCCACAATGTCACAAGAGATCCCTCGGAGCAAGCGCTCTTGCAGAATTCGTTTCATTTCGCTGTCTTGGCTTCCTTCGCATTTAACTTGAAAGCCACTGTCTGCTTGTTGACCTCATCTTTCAGACTGATCCGGCGTTCAGAAAGTGACGGATCAGTTTTCCTTGCCTTTTGCCATGCCTTTACAGCTTTCCTTTTTTCTAGCCACGCCATGTTGACTACTTCATTCCACCATGGTGGCTGGGCCCATCACTCCCGCCGTCTTGCGATCAGCTCTTGTTTTGATTTTGCTAATGGCATCTTGCCCTGTACGGTCATATATAAAAGCAGGCACATTGATTACATGACCTTTGTTGTTGCTCTTCTCCACCAGGACGACACAAGGAAAGTGATCACTGTCATGGCATCCCAGTGTGCTCCACCTGCATCCTGATGCAATGGAAGGAGACACTAGGGCCAGGTCATTTACGTTGTCAGAATCCCCTTGTCGGGTTGCCATTCGGGTAACCTTTCCATCGTTCAAGCATACTAGATCGGCAGATACTAGGGCATCCTCCAGGTCTTCTCCCTGTTTATTAGTGATTACATTGCCCCACTGGTTTCCTCTGGCGTTGAAATCTCTGCAGTAAAGGACTTTCTTTTCCTCCGTCTGGAGCAAACTCTGCCATTTCGTGGTGTCCACTTTTACATTGCAGGCGTACACATTGACAGTCACAAACTAGGCCGGGCCCAACACTCTGACTGTGTGTACTTGTAAGTGATCATTATTCCGCTCAGATGTGTCCACCTCAGACACCGGTATGTTGACACGAACAAGAATGAGCTCTCCAAGGTGCCATCTATTGTAGAAGGATTGAAAGCCCACAATTTTAACGATCTCGTCACCGAGGTGTGTTTCCTTTAGGACAACGATGTCATTGCTGTAAAGGAGCTTCTCGAAAATAGGTCGGCGTTGATTGAACGAAGCGCAGTTCCAATAGAGAACGTGAACATACTTTAAGCTGAGTCTCTCACATTTCAGTCTCTTCCTGCAGGTGCCACCATGCTTGCCTGATCGTGTTCTCCTTGTCCGTCTACGGGTTGTTTTGAATAGGTAAATAGTAGCCATCGAATGTCAAATACACCCTGAGGGAAGTCTGAACTCATGTGCATGTACTTCATTGGATGGTTCAGACCCCATTCCGATGAAACTTTCACATTATATGTGAGCGAAAATAGCAAATTTGCGCCATTCACCTCAACGGACGAAAAAGCGTACCGCCATTGTGGCTGTTTACACCGGAAGTTCTGCCACTGGGAATGTTAAGTGTTAGGCTTTCACATATTCTAGGCCAAGGATTGATGCAAGGGGATGGCGAGCTTTCTTCATTGTCAGCTTTCCTACACAGACTTCTTTTTACTCTTCTTCTCCTCCTCTTCCTTTTTTTTTAATTCTTCTTCTCGTCCTCTTCCTCCTCCTTTTTATTCTTCTTCTCCTCCTCTTCCTCATCCTTTTTATTCTTCTTCTCCTCCTCTTCCTCCTCCTTTTTGTTTCTCCTCTTCTTCCTCCTCCTTTTTCTTTTTCAACTCCTCCTCCTTCTTATCCTCCTTCTCCTTTATTCAAGGAAGAGGTCTTTTTCTTTTTTTCTTTCTACAGTTACCTTATCAAACTGTTGGGAGAAGAGAAAATGTTCTCAGAGTTAAAGACTAATCTACATAGTGTTCACCACTACATCAGCCTTCAAGTATTACTTGGTCTGTAGAAATCTGGGTCTAGCACTAAATGCATGATGTGCCAGGGGCATGGAAAGGGTCCTTTACTTCCTTTTTTAATCAGCATGAAAAAAGTCACACACAAAAGGTTTTCTACTGCTTTACACAAAATGTTTCACAAGCAGATGTAAATAGTGCAATTAGGATGACCCATATGCAACTGGGACTCATTAGGAAAGCAAAGAATAGTAGAGTTGTAATGTACCATGCATGTCATAAGAGGTGAATAATAAGGGTTGGCATTCCTACCTCATCCTGTATCCATCTTAAGCTGAAAAATCCACCCAATCATGAACAATTCTGTGAAGGTCTTGGTGTGAGCTGCTTGAGGTTGAAGAACGAGAAGAAGAAAGTAAAGATAATGGTGTAATAAATGTCTGCTTAAAATCAATCATGCATTTTTTTTGTCAAGTGAAAAATATTTGCAGTTTGAATGTGGAAGTGATGTTTTGTAATTTAAAACATCCCTCACCCATGTGTACACACTTGGACAAGCTGGAAAAAAAGATTATTGAGAGGATCAGCAAACAAGTAAGGCATTAATTATTACATGCAGGAAGAATCATTGACAGGGCTGATTGATAATGAAAAATCTCTGATGCTAACCTGACTGCATGACCTGGGAGTGAAGCCTGGCAAAACACGGCTGTGCAACCAGCAGGGCCAATATAGGATAATTATACCCAAATGCATGTGGGAAAAGTCAGTAGAGATACCTTGGGATGGCTGCTGCTTTTGATGAATGAGCACACTTGGGAGTGCCCAGTAAGTTATAATGCCTTAATTTTGTTTTGTTTATAAATGTAATTGCAGGTAAATCAGTGTTTATTCTTGAGGCTGATATTGACATCAGCCAAAAGGGAACCTCATTTACAAACAGGACCTTTCATGACGGCAAGGATGCAGATGCGGTAATAGTAAATATCGTGCCAGGAGACTTTGATGGTGACTCACAGATGGACGTGCTAGTGATGAGAAAAGCTGGAGCAGATGAAACACAAGTAACAGTTGAGATCTATCGTGGCAGTGGAATGAAAGGTCAGTCGAAGATCATGATTTGAGTTTACTGAATAAAACTTCACATTGCTAACACATGAAATGCTTATTTTAAAAATCTTGTAATGGCCTTATTATACCATATTTTATGATAATGTAAGGCAGGAGGTTTATTTTTGTCTTGAGAATTGAGGACCACATGGGTCTCTCAATAAGAATGAACTGTGCAGGTTAGACATTTTTTGGGGGGCCACTGACAGAAACAGTTGTATCACCTTACAGAGGATTCGTACCTATGACTGCTGAATTAGAACCCAACATAACCTTTCAGCCTGGTACTCATTGGAAATCTTAGATGTAACCCCTGATTTACTGGTTTCACATTTAACAGTCAGATAATAATATTGAATATTAATTAACAGAGTCGGGTAGCATGTAACTAACATTCTTTGTTGTTTATGCCTGAAGTCACATTTCGTATTTCCCTTGAGGCAGGGACTGCAGGGACGGGGATGTCACTGCTGCGGCTTTGGAGTGTGTGCAACATTCTCATCATGCACCTAACTGCTCTGCAGAAAGAGACCAAGTGATATGGGATAACACTTGATTTTGTGAAGTAAATTATGTTGCCTTTAAAAACCCTTTAAACATTAAACAGTAATTCACTTAGCTGTCAAAAGAAAAAGAAAAGTCGGGCATGAAAACCTCAAGCACAGCTCATGCCATATCAGTGGTTAGTTGATTAAAGCTGGAAATGTCAGGATCATTCTGTTAGCCTGCTGCCAATTTACTAGATTTAACACACTTTGCCTTGAAAGGGCCATATCAGTAAAGCTGGACAGAAAACTAGGTAGTATTTCTAGTTGTAATGATGAAAGTTAACACCATCAACGTAGCAGGCCACACCGATATCTTTATGGATTACTCGGCATTTGATGAGTGATATGGTCAGGATCACATTAGATGCCTTCACTTTCCTGGATATTTTCTGGTGCCTATTTAAAACTGTGTCAACCAGTCTTCTTTGATGCAGAATCGAACCCAAGACTTTTGGACTAGCCACTGGTAGTTATACAAAATACATACGAGCAAAACATAATGTGCTACTACCGGGTTAGACATTGTGCAGAATTTGTCATTCATAGTTTTTGCAGGAACTGTGAAACCGCTACCATGTGTAGACGAACAAATTAATTAATTGAAATAGAAAAGTATTTCTGTGCCCTCATTTTGCAGTGACAGAAAGGTTCAAAGATTTCTTCTTTAAAAAAAAAAAATACAAGTTTAGATATTGGGAGGGCCCTTTGGAAGCGAGTGCGGAGGCAGATAGATCTAAGGAGAATGGCGCTGCAAGGAGTTAACAGGGGATCTGGCAGATGCTCAACACTCAGGGAAAGGATGAGACGGATATACAATCAGATGGTTACAGATACCATCAGAATAGGAACTCTTTGCTTGCTGCTAAAAATGGAGACTGAGCAGTTATGAGAGTGTCCCAAGTGCTGTGATGTCGATTCTTAATTCAATATTCAATATTCTTTCCACTTAAAAAAAAATATTCTTCTGCTGTCGCTGTGCCACCTCCTGTTTTGTCAAAGAAAAAAAAACACCTTGAGGTCTAGTGTCTATGACATTTACAGAGCGTTGTAATGAACTAAGATGGTCTAGTGTCAGTGACATTCACAGAGCTTTGTATAAATTGAGAGGGGCTAGTTTCCATGACATTTACAGAGCGTTGTAATAAACTAAGATGGTCTAGTGTCTATGACATTTACAGAGCGTTGTAATAAACTAAAATGGTCTAGTGTCAGTGACATTCACAGAGCTTTGTATAAATTGAGAGGGCTAGTGTCTATGACATTTACAGAGCGTTGTAATAAACTAAGATGGTCTAGTGTCCACGACATTTACAGAGCATTGTAATAAACTAAGATGGTCTAGTGTCTATGACATTCACAGAGCATTGTAATAAACTAAGATGGTCTAGTGTCAGTGACATTCACAGAGCATTGTAATAAACTAAGATGGTCTAGTGTCTATGACATTTACAGAGCATTGTAATAAACTAAGATGGTCTAGTGTCAGTGACATTTACATAGCTTTGTAATAAACTAAGATGGTCTAGTGTCCATGACATTTACAGAGCGTTGTAATAAACTAAGATGGTCTAGTGTCTATGACATTTACAGAGCATTGTAATAAACTAAGATGGTCTAGTTTCCATGACATTTACAGAGCGTTGTAATAAACTAAGATGGTCTAGTGTCCATGACATTCACAGAGCTTTGTAATAAACTAAGATGGTCTAGTGTCTATGACATTCACAGAGCTTTGTAATAAACTAAGATGGTCTAGTGTCTATGACATTCACAGAGCATTGTAATAAACTAAGATGGTCTAGTGTCTATGGCATTTACAGAGCATTGTAAAAAACTAAGATGGTCTAGTGTCTATGACATTTACAGAGCGTTGTAATAAACTAAGATGGTCTAGTGTCAGTGACATTCACAGAGCTTTGTATAAATTGAGAGGGGCTAGTGTCCATAACATTAAATGTGAAATTCATTGTTAGCTTCTTGTACACCTTTTACAGGAACACTTTATCTGACTGTGAATGAGACATTCAGAGATCAGCCAATAGTGATTGAGTAAGTATTCTGATTTTTTTTTCTTCTTTTAAACAGATTTGTTTAAGGTTCTTGGTACAGAGATAAAATAATTAAATGGAAAACAGGCCAGCTGTGGATAGTTAGAAAAAGTCTTATGTTCTGTGTGATAAAAGGTGGTAAAGACTGAGGATCAACATCATGGCACACGGGTAGTAACCCATAATTGCTCCGTTCTTTTTCTAACTCAAGTCTAAGTCCGAAGAAGCTCAGCACAGTGCACAGGCTCTGTTGCACCAGCGAGAATCCTGAAATACTTTGGGTAGATTTTTAACTCCAAATGTTGCCCAGGCAGCGCCGCTAGGCTACTCTTTTTGATTTACAGCTGCCAAGGGATTTTTTTACGTGCGCAACAATGCACACGGGCGTCCGGTCTCACTATCCAAAGACAAGGGGGAATTACTAGAAGTCCAAGTCCACGTTAAAAAATCCCAGCTCTTACTGGGGATTGAAACCGGGACCTCTAGCACTCGAGGCAGACACCATGCCTCGAGACCATGCAGCCTCCTTATCAAGACTTAAAGGACATAGAAAAGGCGATGACCTGTGCAAACTCAACAAACTCTAAGAGACCAACCAGCTTTGTTGCAGTGGATCCCAGCCCTTTGTGGCATAGCAGAAAATCATATGGTGGATAAACTGGCCAAAGAGGGAGTACTGGAAATCAGGACCTCCATCCCATATCACTGCAAGCGGTAAAGACACTGCTCAAGGAGAAATGCAGAAACTTCTGGAGGCAAAGAATAGACAGCAAACACCCAGACAACCTAATCAATAGACTAAACAGAAGGCAGTACACTATAATTTGTCAGCTATGAACAGGACACTTCAGACTTTATGCATACATGTTCAAAATGAAGGCTGCACAATCTGCACAGTGTCCTCTGCCAAACCTAAAGTAAAACCTGTGAGAAAATACATGGTCAGAGTGAAGAGGCATCCAAGACAAACTTAAGGGAATCCTTGAAGAATTGTTGCTGATGTGCTTGTTCATGGGGTTAACACAACTTCTAAGCTGAGCATATGACACCGATCGCAGAGAGAAAGAAGAAAGACTTGTCTGTGATACAGTGTTGTTATGTTAATAGTTTCTTTGCTTAAACAAACTTGATTCCCTGTGTTTTGGTCTTTATTAAAAAGCATTTCAAATGGATATAACCATAACTGTTTTAATTATATAGTTGGCACTATGTCAGGTGTGTCTTCAGTGGGAGCAGCTGAAAGTCTCTGGTTTGAGTCTGCACCAAGCAGATTAAAAAAAATCTTTAATATAGGGTCTCAGGTTAACCCAGACTAAAATGGGTACCGAGTGATATCTTTGGACAAATCAGCCATTAATTCTTTGGATCTATGCACCATCTATATGATGTGCCAATAGCATAAAAAGGCTTTTTTCAGTGATTTAATACTTACATACAATTGTTATTACCTTTCCACAGGTCTTTTTGTTTCTTGAAGAAGAAGAAGTATTGGTAACTCACTAAAAAAAAAAAAAAAGGTGCTGGTGCATATTACAAAGTGTCTATTACAATAGTGCCTTTAAAAAATGCCTTTAAAGGTGCCATACTGTGTATCATGGTGCACCTTCAGGGGAAAAAACCCTGCCTTTGCACTGAGTGTCAGGTGTGAAAAAAAAAAGGGGTAGGGGTTGTGTTAGAAGGCTGAATATTTTTATGAGTCAGAATAGGTGAAAGTGTTCAAAAAAGTAACATATATTTTCTCTGTCCCCAGTGGCAACGGAGACATGGCACCTGACTTGTTTGGAGAGACGGTAGATGGAAGACGAGCTCTGTGGGTTTTTCAGTAAGGACATGTTGTCTTCTCTATTATTGCTAGTTTCTTCCACAGTAGGATCTGTATAGGATACTGTCTTTACTACCTGTAGTCACCCCTTATAAGGGCAGTGTAGGACAGGGATTCTTGAGCCTGGGGTTTCGGAGCAGCATGGCTGGGGCACCAACAAAACTGATGATGAGTATTTTCATTTTTACCCAGCCTGCGCCAGAAACAGTTTCTTAGGGGGTTGAAAGTTGAAACCTCGACTATGACTGACTGTTTCTAACATTTTACAGAGAATTCCAGCCAGGGTCTCCAGCTATAAGAACCCACCATTCTAACCATTTAGTTCCACCGGCTGCTTCCCTATTGAGAGATTTCTTACAGCCTCTGATTTCATACAGCCTTTTGTCATAGCATTTACAAATGTCAGTACTTTAACTGGTACGTGATTGCAATAAGCGAAGAGCAAAATCACTCACACCATATGACCATTCACTTGATTATGCCTAAAATAAAGTACCACTGCAAGGTCATATGATGTACCGATTAAAAAAAAAAGCTTTTTCATTCCACTTATCAATAATATATATTGCAGTTCTTATTTGTTAGTCAGTTCATAAGAATTTTTTTTTAATTGTAGGTGGGATATGTAGTTCTAGTTTGGGAAAGAGAAGATGAAGACACTAAAAGAAAGCTAACTGAGGAGCTAGAAAATTAAAAATGAAACATTTTTTTTTTAAATTTCTGTATTTGTTTAAATAAACATAAGAAAAAGATGGTTTACGACCTCCTGATCCTAGGCTTGTAGGTCAGGATACCTGGCCCTCTTGGACTAGGGTGAGAAAACTCAAAGGGGCAGTGTTCATGTTGTAGGCATTAAAGATCCCTTGGCAGGGGATATCGAAAAGAGCCTGTTTAGGCTGATAAAAGGTTACTGGGCTAAGACTCTCTTTGTATCACCTCTGGGAACAGAGTGGATTACTTATGGAGATAACCTACATGTTGCAGAAGTAATCTTGATCAAACACCAGAAACAAACCAAAACAAATATGCATCTGCAGGTCTTTGTGGATGGCTACACTGGGTGTGCTGTTAGTTGATCTATAACTTGGTACATCTGCAGGTCTTTGTGGGTGGCTAGACTAGGGGTGGTGTTAGTTGATCTATAACTTGGTACATCTGCAGGTCTTTGTGATAAGCTAGGCTGGGTGTGGTGTTAGTTGATCTATAACTTGGTACATCTGCAGGTCTTTGTGTGTGGCTAGACTAGGGGTGGTGTTAGTTGATCTATAACTTGGTACATCTGCAGGTCTTTGTGGTAAGCTAGGCTGGGTGTGGTGTTAGTTGATCTATAACTTGGTACATCTGCAGGTCTTTGTGGGTGGCTAGACTAGGGGTGGTGTTAGTTGATCTATAACTTGGTACATCTGCAGGTCTTTGTGATAAGCTAGGCTGGGTGTGGTGTTAGTTGATCTATAACTTGGTACATCTGCAGGTCTTTGTGTGTGGCTAGACTAGGGGTGGTGTTAGTTGATCTATAACTTGGTACATCTGCAGGTCTGTGTAGGTGGCTAGGCTGGGTGTGGTGTTAGTTGATCTATAACTTGGTACATCTGCAGGTCTTTGTGATAAGCTAGGCTGGGTGTGGTGTTAGTTGATCTATAACTTGGTACATCTGCAGGTCTTTGTGTGTGGCTAGACTAGGGGTGGTGTTAGTTGATCTATAACTTGGTACATCTGCAGGTCTGTGTAGGTGGCTAGGCTGGGTGTGATGTTAGTTGATCTATAACTTGGTACATCTTCAGCTCTGTGACGGTAGTTAGACTAGGTGTGGTGTTAGTTGATCTATAACTTGGTACATCTGCAGGTCTTTTTTTTCAGGGGCTAGGCTGGGTGTGGTGCTGGTTTATCTATAACCTGAAACATCTGCAGGTATTTGTGGGTGGCTAGACTAGGTGTGGTGTCAGTTGATCTATAACTTGGTACATCTGCAGGTCTGTGTGGGTGGCTAAACTGATTGGGGTGTTAGTTGATCTATAACTTGGTGCATCTTCATGTCTCTGTGGGTGGCTAAACTGGGTGTGATGTTAGTTGATTTATTGATTATAACTTGGTACATCTGCAGGTCTGTGTGCGTGGCTAGGCTGGGTGTGGTGTTAGTTGATCTATAACTTGGTACATCTGCAGGTCTTTGTGGGTGGCTAGACTAGGGGTGGTGTTAGTTGATCTATAACTTGGTACATCTGCAGATCTGAGTGGGTAGCTAGACTGAGAGTGGTTTTATTTTAAACTTGGTACATCTGCAGGTCTGAGTGGGCAGCTAGACTGGGTGTGGTTTTAGTTGACCTATAACCTGGTACATCTGCAGGTCTTTGTGGGTGGCTAGAGTGGGTGTGGTTTTAGTTGACCTATAACCTGGTACATCTGCAGGTCTGAGTGGGTGGCTAGACTGAGAGTGGTTTTAGTTGACCTATAACCTGGTACATCTGCAGGTCTGAGTGGGTGGCTAGAGTGGGTGTGCTTTTAGTTTATCTATAACTTGGTACATCTGCGGGTCCATGTGGGTGACAACTTCCAGTCAAAATGGACGCTAGGCACAGGCACTGTTTGGAGCCGAGGCAAATTTTTGGGACCTGTCAGACATTTTTGCTCCATTTGTAGACTGAAAGGATATAGTTTTGTCGCCCAGCTTTTGAGTTGAATGCATGGTGTGACACTGTGAGCTGCGGATTTCATTTGGAATGTTTTTTTGACTGTGACCAACGTGGTGGTGTGAATTGTAGATTCAAAAAATGGTGCTATGCCTGTTGTCAAATGTTGGTGGTGCCCTTTTGTGATTAAAATTGATCGTGTGTGCAACTGCTGATCTGTTGGTGACTTCTGCTACCATCAATGATGAACTGCATTTCTAATGTCGGACTGTTTGTGTTAGCAGTTCGGATGGCTACCGTATGCTTTTAATGCTTGTGTATGCTAGATATGCTGATATAGCAGTCTGTCAATCTTTCCACAAGGGACTGAGATAAACATTCTGTGTGTTTTTCGTTGGCGCAGGAGTGGAGCTAGATGGGGTGACACGTTTGCTGTGAAGCTGAAACTAAGACTACCAGATGTGGGTGACTAGATTGAGTATGGTGTTTATTTCTGGCTTGGTGCAGCTGTATTGATTATATCGTGTTTGTCTAATAATTTTGAAGTTACTGTCTGCTGCATTGCTGCTTGTGTTGATCAAGTAGAATGTTCAGAAGTCACCCAGCAATGAGGTACATTCTCGAGTAACTATTACTATTACTTTTGTAAATTAAAGATTACCCCCCCCCCCCCCCCCCCCCCCAAATACAAATATTGAGAAAGTTAGTTGTGTTAAGTAATTGTTGGAGCTATTTGTTCCTGATCACTCCTTCTGTTTCCTCATTCCAGAGGTACTTCAACTAATTCAACTTACCAGATTATATATTACCACGGCAAAAATGATGAAAAACTTGCGCCATTGAAGATACCTCAGTCTAGTGCATTCCTGGACATCAATGGTGATCTGAATGCAGGTAACTATTGTAAACAACTCAGGCAATTGCCTTATTCATCATCATCATTCTTTTTTGCCATTATATGTTGCATAGGGCTCACAGTTTATTCTTTAACTCTGGTATCTATCTTTGTTGTACTGGTTTCAGAGTTGTACAGGTTGAAAAAAAAAATGGAGAAAAAAAATCATGTCCATTTTTGGAGATTGAATCTTGATGGCTGTTTTGACAAGTTAGTGCACTAACTACCATACCATTGTATCACCAGGTACTACTATGTTCCTTCTTCTTATGCCTTTTATCTTCTAGTGAAGCATAGTGCGCCCCCACCAAATTACTTTTCTTCTGGATAAGGTAGCCAGTCTCACAACTTTTTCTTATGCTATCACTAATGACATCCATGGTGGGTCATAGGAGGGTTTATCTCCTTTGTGGGTCCTGGTGACACAGAGTGGATCTCATACCTCTTTAGTTAAGCTTAGCAAAAATACCCCACCTTCCACCTCTTTAGCCTTGACTCATAACATCCATGGTGGGTAACAGGATTACTTAACTTTCCTTGTGGGTCCTGGTGACACAGAATGCTTTACCTTCTTGTGTGGGTCCTGGTGACACTAAGTGGATCACACATCTTTAGTCTTCAATTATAAAACCTATGGTTACCATTCCTCTCCTCCTGTATTACCAGGACCACCAATGAAGGTTAAGCAATCCTGTGACCCAGCATGAATGTCACAAGTAAAGGTGAAAGAGGTGGCCGGGGAAAGTGGGGGGGTTGGGGGGGGGGGGGGCAGGGGGTCATTGCTATGTTTAAATCTGTTTTCTAGCAATGTTAAGGTTGTTAATCATCTGCCCTATCACAATTCAAGAAGTAAGTAAATAAGGCACCCTTATCATGTTATTGGCACATCAGACATGTAGTATCAGACCCATATCTGTAAAGATTTAAACATGTAATGTGGTTGCTTTTTGTAAGTATTTTTTTCTGGAAATTCCCACATATTCATGACCCATTTTTATTAAGCCTTCACTGGGCGAAAGGACTATGGTATGCAAAGAATAATCATATTGAAACCTACCATGCATTTAAGAAGCAGGCACAGAAACCATATGGAAAGGCCAACCACAGAATGACTGAATGAACTTTATTTTCAGAGGGTCATAAATTTTGCAGGCCCATCTTACATTCATCCCTTTCAAACACTCATCTTTCACACAGAAATTGTATGAGAATGGAGGCAGGTAATATCTGCAGCAATCACTCCAGGGGCTCAGAATGCTAAAGAAGAAAAACAAATTCATCTGTGAAAACCAGCCAACCATAACCAAGCCTTAAAAAAAATGATGGGAGACATGGAGGGAGCTATGAGAGATTGCTTGGTCTACATGAAGGCCTATGCTCTATTTAGAGACTGAAGGCAACAGCAACCATTTTTTTTAATTTATAGGCAACACTAAGTAATAAAAGGGTAGATTATTGTGGACATGAGCAGCAAATTAATCTGTGTGCTAGGAGTGGATCCTTCAGATGTTCATGTATTTGTAGTCTCTTCTTTTCTTTGTGGCTCGAAACACAAAACTACACCCACGTATGTATACTCAGTGATTCAATGAGTATGATCCAGAAGGTTCAGGCAGGTTCGGTGCAAAGACAATGGCTTGAATCATTACAGAAGTCCACTGTGCATGGTCACCTTTGTTTTTGTTCAGGGAAACACCAGTGTCGATGGAAAGGAAAGAGCTGATAGGTTGGCTGGATCTGCTATCACTACCGACAGTCAGCCTATGGATCATGCTGATATTATTAATGCCCTCAGAGAAATGAGAAGGATAGAGAACTTTGAAAGGGAGAGGGGGTGGGGGCAGTGAATCCACGTCACTCGCCAGAATGGCAGACTTGTTAATTAAGATCGGCATAGCAAAAAACAGGACGCACACCAGACACACTAGAAGACTTGTTAATCAACATAGAACTGGTACTATTAGCCATCGGACGTTGAGGTTCATACTGAGGGGAGGATCTGAGAACCTATTCACATGTCAGGAGTGCAATGATGATAACCCAACTAACTAACTAACTAACTAACTAACTAACTAACTAACTAACTAACTAACTAACTAACTAACTAAGTTTTATATTTTAAATTTAACTAAGTGTAAGTTTACTTGACATTTACTTTTCACCAGATCTGTGTGCTGTGACAGAAGTAAATGGAACAGTGGTGCTTGAATTGTGGCTAAATTTGGTGAGACATATTATCTGATTTTACTAAGGTTATTTCTGATAGCACATTTATAACAAGCCTATAAGAACTATTATTGTTCATGAAAAAATATATCAAACCAGATGTGACATTGATCTAGTCAGCTTCACAAAACCACGATCTTCTTCTTCTTTACATACTCTGTTACCGCTTCGGGTGTCAAGGGAGATATAAGGTCCTGCTTCGTGCTTTTCTGGTTGCTTCGACCATAGATACATCGTGGTGCTGTAGAGTTTCTGTAATATCCTCCCATCTTGTTCATGGTCTATCTCTTGCTATACATTCTTCTGCTCTTCTGGTATATGCCTTATATGCCACAATCATGAACAACAAATGAAATGTGGCTCGAAATCTTCATCAGCAGTGACACAATCCAACAGTGATACAATTACAGACAAGAATACATAAAAAAATCATTAAACTTTATAGTGAGATCTGTCACAATACCTGGTCAAGCCATTTGCCTCACCCTCGGAATGTTGTCAGTTTATTTGATGAACTGTATCATTTGGTCGATGAGTGCAGCTTTTACAGAGATCCCTGGAGGATTGAAGCTACAGAGTTTGTGCTTTGTGTGACGTTTACAGCAGGCAGTTAGCCAATTTGTGGAGAGAGACTGAACTATATGGGATGATTAAATGTGGTGCAGTGAAGTCAGTTCTCTGAACCTTATACTTTAACTTCAAATGTTGCCCTAGACTCTTCTGGGGCTGTATTGGACTTATATGTCACCTCCGGACCCACAAATATTCAACTGGTTTCATGATGGATGAAAGCAAAGTCTTGTGATGGACAAACAAACCAGCCATTGTGATAACAGTTTGCTAGAACACAATCTGTTACATGTATATAAAACATTAGATTTTGTCTGTGGCTAAATATTTAATATGTGCAAAGCAAAGGACTTATCTACAATTGAAATGAAAAACAAAAAAAACACATATAGAAGGGGGTAATCAATATGCACAAGCAAGGTGAAGCATTAAACTGAATACATTCCCTAAGACAAATATGTTTTGGGTGACTAATGTCATGACTTTTTGACCTCTGTCACTAAGGTTGGGTGCTTTATTTATTACTTACCCCGAATAGAGAGAATCCATGGGAATTCCACAGCTGACTGGAAGTCTACTTTTTCAAGGGGTGCAAGTGTGCTTGCTGCTGCTGTTTGCTCTTCTAGTGTTTTTTGGTGTGGCATATTTGTGTCTGTTGGTACGCAGTTTGCTGCTTATTGATGCGCAGTTAGCTTGTGTACAATACTGGTAACGTTTTTAGATCATTTTGTCATGTGAACCTTTAGCTTAGTTGGTATCACATCCGCGTTATAAATGAAAGGTGCCGCGTTCAATCCCTGCGTGACGATGAAGACTGCTGATGCTCGGTAAACACACGTCATAAGAGGCACCAAGCTCCGCTTTTGAGATGCGCTCTAGAAATGGGGAAAATCCTCCCAACCTTGCTACCATGGAAATTATTTGAATGTCTTCCGTGACAACATCGTGACGTCATGGGGTAAGTAAAAAAAGTATAGTACCTAAGGTTGAAATAAAAATGTAATGTCAACATGGCAGTAAATAAGCCATTAGGGTCACATAAGGAAACCCCAGATACTATTTTTAGTCAGTTTATATATCCAGGCCTACTAAGCACTGTTCAGGTGTACATAGACCCAGTACTGCAGAAATGCTGATACATCAGCATTAACAGAACTGTGTCAGAACTGAAGTAAATTAGAATTAGTCTTCTTGGGCCAACAGGGTTAAGGATGGGTCAGCCTGCGATTTAAAAAATCTGCTTCCATGGAGATTAAAACCTCTAACAAGTGGGTCAGCAGGCAGCCATGCTGGTTACACTGATATCCTGACGTCCTTCACAGACATGTATTAGTTATTATTTGAGATATTTTCGTAGTTCTGTTTTCATATTTATGTTTTTATGTTATTGAATGTAGGGTGGTGTTTTGACACACACACAGAGTATTGCAGCACCTAAAGAGCTCAAAGTTGTTGGACAAGCCTCATATGCTGATCTCAGTAAGTTGTTGAAATTAACAGTGAGCAAGAAGTTTTTCTCAGGCTTGTTTGACTATTGATATATGCATTGCCAAGACAAGAAGTCCTATGTTGCAAAGCCTTGCACTCATTGCAGTCAGTTCTTTTTTTAAAAACTCCTGTCCCCCCTGTTTTGTCCTTCTTTTAACCTTGTTCAGGCAGATGCATTGTGATTTATATACATCATGCTTCAGCCTCCTTCATCTAGGTTGATGTGTCTGTGATCTACACTGTCATTGCATACATCCTTGAAACATAGTTTGGACATTGCAGTTTGTCTTCTAATCTTTGCCAGCTGACAGAATTAATTAGTGTTTCCAATATCACCATCTCTCATACAGTGTAGATGGCAAAATTACAAACTCTCCATGGTCTGGGTAGGAAGTACATGCTCTCACTATATGAAAGCATCTTATCATTTGACAATCACTGTTTCTTGTTCTAAGGATGCATCAGCCAGTAATTGGCTTTAATTGAAAGAGATTTATTGCTTCAGTGATGTGTCAGCTCATAGTTAGAGACGACTGAAGGAGGGACTGCTTGCTCCAAACATGTAATAACCTGTATTTAGAGATGACACACAGAGGGACTGCTTGCTCCAAAGATGTAATAACATGTAGTTAGAGATGACACACAGAGGGATGGCTTGCTCTAAATTTTAATAATCTGTAGTTAGAGATGACACACAGAAGGATGGCTTGCTCCAAAGATGTAATAACCTGTAGTTAGAGATGACTGAAGGAGAGACTGCTTGCTCTAAAGATATAATAACCTGTAGTTAGAGATGACTGAAGCAGGACTACTTGCTCCAAAGATGTAATAACCTTTAGCTAGAGATGACTGAAGGAGGGACTGCTTGCTCCAAAGATATAATAACCTGTAGTTAGAGATGACTGAAGCAGGACTACTTGCTCCAAAGATGTAATAACCTGTAGTTAGAGATGACTGAAGCAGGACTACTTGCTCCAAAGATGTAATAACCTTTAGCTAGAGATGACTGAAGGAGGGACTGCTTGCTCCAAAGATATAATAACCTGTAGTTAGAGATGACTGAAGCAGGACTACTTGCTCCAAAGATGTAATAACCTGTAGTTAGAGATGACTGAAGCAGGACTACTTGCTCCAAAGATGTAATAACCTTTAGCTAGAGATGACTGAAGGAGGGAATGCTTGCTCCAAAGATATAATAACCTGTAGTTAGAGATGACTGAAGCAGGACTACGCTCCAAAGATATAATAACCTGTAGTTAGAGATGACTGAAGCAGGACTACTTGCTCCAAAGATATAATAACCTGTAGTTAGAGATGACTGAAGCAGGACTACTTGCTCCAAAGATGTAATAACCTGTAGTTAGAGATGACTGAAGCAGGACTACTTGCTCCAAAGATGTAATAACCTGTAGTTAGGGATGATTGAAGCAGGACTACTTGCTCCAAAGATGTAATAACCTTTAGCTAGAGATGACTGAAGGAGGGAATGCTTGCTCCAAAGATATAATAACCTGTAGTTAGAGATGACTGAAGCAGGACTACGCTCCAAAGATATAATAACCTGTAGTTAGAGATGACTGAAGCAGGACTACTTGCTCCAAAGATATAATAACCTGTAGTTAGAGATGACTGAAGCAGGACTACTTGCTCCAAAGATGTAATAACCTGTAGTTAGAGATGACTGAAGCAGGACTACTTGCTCCAAAGATGTAATAACCTGTAGTTAGAGATGATTGAAGCAGGACTACTTGCTCCAAAGATGTAATAACCTGTAGTTAGAGATGACTGAAGCAGGACTACTTGCTCCAAAGATGTAATAACCTGTAGTTAGAGATGACTGAAGCAGGACTACTTGCTCCAAAGATATAATAACCTGTAGTTAGAGATGACTGAAGCAGGACTACTTGCTCCAAAGATGTAATAACCTGTAGTTAGAGATGACTGAAGGAGGGATGCTTGCTCCATAGATGTAGTAACCTGTAGTTAGAGATGACTGAAGGAGGGACTGCTTGCTCCATAGATGTAGTAATCTGTAGTTAAAGATGACACACAGATGGACGGCTTGCTCCAAAGATGTAGTAACCTGTAGTTAGAGATGACTGAAGGAGGGACTGCTTGCTCCAAAGATGTAGTAACCTGTAGTTAGAGATGACTGAAGGAGGGACTGCGTGCTCCATAGATGTAGTAACCTTTAGCTAGAGATGACTGAAGGAGGGACAAATTGCTCCAAAGATGTAGTAACCTGTAGTTAGAGATGACTGAGGGAGGGACTGCTTGCTCCATAGATGTAATAACCTATAGCTAGAGATGACTGAAGGAGAGACAAATTGCTCCAAAGATGTAATAACCTATAGCTAGAGATAGCGGAAAGAGGGACTGTCTGCTCCATAGATGAAAAAACCTGTTGTTAGAGATGACATAAGGAGGGACTGCTTGCTCCAAAATGTAATAACGTTTAGCTAGAGATGACACAAGGAGGGACTGCTTGCTCCATAGATGTAGTAACCTGTAGTTAGAGATGACTGAGGGAGGGACTGCTTGCTCCATAGATGTAGTAACCTTTAGCTAGAGATGACTGAAGGAGGGACTGCTTGCTCCATAGATGTAATAACCTGTAGTTAGAGATGACTGAGGGAGGGACTGCTTGCTCCATAGATGTAGTAACCTTTAGCTAGAGATGACTGAGGGAGGGACTGCTTGCTCCATAGATGTAGTAACCTTTAGCTAGAGATGACTGAAGGAGGGACAAATTGCTCCAAAGATGTAGTAACCTGTAGTTAGAGATGACTGAAGGAGGGACTGCTTGCTCCATAGATGTAATAACCTATAGCTAGAGATGACTGAAGGAGGGACAAATTGCTCCAAAGATGTAATAACCTGCAGTTAGAGATGACTGAAGAAGGGACTGCTTGCTCCATAGATGTAATAACCTATAGCTAGAGATGACTGAAGGAGGGACAAATTGCTCCATAGATGAAATAACCTGTAGCTAGAGATCACTGAAAAAGAGACATCTTGCTGCATAGATAAATTAACAAAGTGCAACTAAACTAGGTGAGATTTATGGAAGATAGAACATGTGTAATATGCAGCTGTTAAAATTGCCCCTAGAATTTTTAAAGTATTAACTTTGTGTCCCAGATGTAGCCATATCTAGAGTTTTTAAAGTGTTAACCTTGTGTCCCAGATGTAGCCATATCTAGAGTTTTTAAAGTGTTAACCTTGTGTCCCAGATGTAGCCATATCTAGTATTTTTATAAACATTTGTTCTGTGATAAAGTTGATTTAATCTACTACTTTTGATGGCAGGTGTTGAATGGATTGTTGTTTTGTTCATTTGATTTTCCCAGTGTTAAGTGTACATCAATATTGTTCTGTTTACAGATGGAGATGGTGTAATGAATATTATTTTACCTGGTTGTTTGGATGATTCTTGCAAAGAGAGTGCAATTTTTGTATGGTGCCATAATAAGGTAAACTGTATGTGAGATGGGAGTCATATATTATCAGAGTGTGTCTTTATTAATTTTAAAGATAATTGTTTTTTGTTGTTCTTATTCAAAGTTTAGGTATTGATTCTTTCATCACACTGTTAACATACTTGTCGTCCAGTCTGATTCACTGATAATGAGTATGAGTGTAATACTTACGGTGTTTATTATGTAGTTTGCCATTGCTGCCTGAACCATTGAATAATATCTCCCTGTGTTGGTTCCGGGGCCATTTTTAGAGGAAATAATAGTAGCCCCACTGCCTCCCTAACATGGATGTTATCAAAAGCAACTAATTAAGGGTGTTTCCTTTGAAGTCGCAGTCCATCTGCCTGATTGGCAAGGAACCAGCAGTCTGCATATAAGTAAGCTAGATCTGTAAAATGGATCTGCATGCAAAACCTCAAGTTCTAGAGCCAAGTTCTAGAGCAAGACCAAAGTCCAGAAGTGGAAAAACATCCAGAACCTTCTGCCAGAGTTTACAACCGGTTAACACTAAAATAGAGAAGAAGAATAGTATTGCTTTAATATTTTCTGTCAGATTATGAAAACCTTTTTTTTTTTTAAATATGCTTATAATTCTCTCTTGATTTTATTGTTCAGTATTCTGCAGCAGCAGGTGAAGGGTTGTGGAGCAGACTTGATATTAATTTTAAGAAAGATGAAAATCAGATGTCTTTTCCCAAAACTGTCAAACCTGCCAGTTGGTTGACGTTGCCGATTGCCGTTCGAATGGGTGATTTCAACTTGGATGGGTTCCCTGATGCACTAGCAGTTCTCTCAGACACTAATAACAAGTAAGTAACAAATAATTACAGTCGGATACTCAATCTGTGCAGACAACAGTTTACATGGTTTCTGCATGATTATTGATTTACATCACTTGTGTATTACGTTTCAGAATACTGAACATAAGCTGCAGACATGCTCTTGACATTTGGTAAGGAGATCCTGCATCTGACCAGTTAGCATTCTAATGGAAAGAGTTGAGATGAATTGATTTAAGAAATGATATCACAGCACTCAGGGCATTACCATAGGCGCTCCGTCCCCATCTTCAGCAGCCGGTGAAGAGTTCCGATACCAATGGTGCCAGTAGCATTCTGATTAAATGTCCATCTTGCCTTTCCTTTGAGCCTCGAGCATCTGCCAGAACCTCTTGTCACCCCCCCCCCCCGCATCAATCTCACCAGACTGGTGATCCATCTGCTCCTCCTAACTGTACACACTCTCCCACAAGGAACTAACCACGTCTGCCTTATCATGCATCAGTATTCCACCAAGTTGTGCAGAGCCAGCCAGTCTGTCTGCCTGTTCATTTTCCAACACACCATGTAATCCGGCGAAAAAATTCAGACAATGCTCCTTACCAGTGTCTTCCGCAGTGAAGCATGCCACTCTGCACGAAGCATGCCTGTCCTGACCTTCCTCAGCATGCTTTCTGAGTCAGTTAAATCACGATGTGTGTGTGTGTGTGTGTCGTGTTCTCTAGCCAGCAGAAAGCTAATGGAAGTTGAGCTGTATGGATCAGTGGATGAAATGCAGAGTTGCACCACAGACTTAATAGAGACCTGTAGCTTTCTCTTATAAAAACAACCTGCAGAGAGAGAAAGAAGAAGTAGCATTCTAGCTTTTATAGAGCAGAAATAAAGGAAACATGCTGTATGCTGTGAGGGTGAAATACCAGACCACTGTGTAGGGAGGTAAGTGTACTTACTAGGGTATTCTTTTGACCATTTGTTGTATTAGTGCCCACATTGTATGAGTTTTGCTATATCCATTGTAATGTCAAAGATGTCACTTTATTCTTGTTGATTGTTTGCTAAGCAGGTAACAGCGACAGTGTCATTAGTGTCAGAAAGAAATCAGAAAGAAAAAGTAAATCAAAAGTACCCAGTTATCGTATAGCACCAAGGGGGAGTCACCATAGTGTAGTAGCTAGACACTTGCCTGTGGATCCGAAGGTTGTGGGTTCAATTCCTGGATAAGCTAGACTGTTTTCAAAAATGACCTTGCTCTCATGTCAACCCGGCCTTAAATGGATACCAGGTAAAGTCCCAGGTAAAGATGCAATTTTTTTTTTTTAAGTTATACATCTTTAACACAAGTTTATTTTCTTCCAACGAAGGTTATCTTTCTGTATCTTGTACAATGTTGAATGTGGAGCGGGATGCCAGAATTTCTCAAGAACATTTTCAATAGATTATCAGACAGCGCTACAAAAAGATGACACCTCCCTTATATCCTTTTTTGATTTGATGGAAGATGTAAGTAAATATTGTAGTAATAAATAATCAACAGATTACTTTTACAGAGCCAGTATTTCATTTGCATTTATTTATTGTCAAAACAGTTTACTATTAAACAGATGTTTCCTATTGTGACTATTTAACATGTTCCTTGAATCGACTATTTAATATAAGTTTCCTGAGTTTACTATTTAGCATAAGTTACCTGATACTATTAAACATATGTTCCTTTAGTTCACTATTTTACATTAACTTCCTTGAGTTTACTATTTAACATATGTTTCCTGATTTTACTATTTAACCTAAGTTCCCAGAGTCAACTATGTGACAGCAAGTTCCCCAAATTTACTATTAAATGTAAGTTCTATAAGATGAATATCTGACATTATTTCCATAAAGTTAACATTTCCTAAGTTGACTGAACAGAAATGCCCAAGTTGACTATTTTACATTAAGTTTTCAGAGTTGATTTAAATTCAACAAGATGACTGACATAATGGACTTTTTATCGTAAGCTACATAGATTGACTGTATACAAAAGGGAGCCGAGTGTTTGTAGGCCACAACACAGACCAAGAAGACAATGGAGAGATAATGTGCAGACAGACCTACAAACACTTGCTTTCACCAACTGAAATGAGAAGGCCAACCAGAGAGATGAATGAAGGTGGGTAATGTCTGCAGCAGTGAACCTCAAGGGCTTGGAATGCTGAAGAAGAAGCCTAGATTGATTGGTTGACATAAGTTCCTTAAGATGAATATTTGATACGATTTCCATAAGATGACTATATTTAACCTAAATTCCCACAGCTGATTATTTGACAAAGATTCTATAAAATTATTACCATAAATTGCTAAAGTTTACAACATTTCACTGATATCAGATCAGATGCCACCTTTGTAATTTTCTAAATGGCATGGTGTCACTATGCATTCTCTCTAAGTGGGCAAACCATTTTTTTGGGTCGGGGGGGGGGGGGGGTTTGGGTTGCTTTCTTTGTATGTAATTTAGCACTGTTTGGTGCTATGTTCTTCTTTGACTTCATTCCTGATTTTATCTGTTCTGGTCACTCTGGCAGCCTTTTATATGTGTTGAGATTGCGCGGTCTCCCCCCTCCCCCCATATAATTTGTTACACATTCTTCTGATTTTTACAGATTCTTCTTCTGGTTTCTTATATTTCAGGGTGTCCTAGACATCCTTCTCACTGTAAATCAAAATGGTGTCCCAGTGATTCGAGCAATACAGCAAGATTTCACAGGGGACGCAAGTTTTCTCAAGGTCATGGGTATGTATCCTCATTCCAGTCAGTAAATACAGAACCTGTTTCTGTGACATGACAGTTGTTGGGTATATGGTGCTAGGGCTGTGGGTTAAAAGACAAGTTGGCACTTGAAGGCAGGGATGTAACAAGGTCATATATCTTTGCTGTTTTGTCACCCCCCCCCCCCTCCCCCATTGGTGACACTGGGGGAGGCCACCCCACCTGTACACCTCTACCTACACTACTGCTTGAAAGTTGATGCAAGCATGCCATAAAAGGTGATTTTTAAAGAATTTCCTAAAATTGAATGTGTTAGCTGAAGGGCAGAGATATCATGGAATAACTGTAATTACAGCACTTTTGAGGGAGAATGCAGAAGACTGCATTATTGTACCCATTTTAGGCTGTATCCACCTGAGAGCTGAGTACTGTATATAAAAAAGATTTGCCTTTATGAGAATTCACACACATTACCACTGGGTGATCAGGCAAGAGGGCTAGCTACTGTACCACTGCATCTCTGTCAGCTCGGTCAAGTAGCAGGTGCTACTGTCTGTAACTCTGTATGATGAGGTTGAGTTCAAGAGGAACCTGATTAGCATCCAATGGGATGAATTCAAGAAAGATGAAGAAATAAGAGAAATATTTGCACATTCGCTTGCATCATCAGTTATAAGACAAATAAGATGGTGCTATATTGGTCACAGTCTGAGGAGAAGTGGATAGAACAAAATCACTAATGAGGCATTGCCAAGGAAACCAGTAGATGAATATAGTTGAGAGAGAGAGAAACCAGTAGATGAATATAGTTGAGAGAGAGAGAAACCAGTAGATGAATATAGTTGAGAGAGAGACCAGTAATGCTGGCCTAGATTCCATGCATGATATCAAAGATTGCACAGGATAGAACAGCAAGTAGGAATAGACTGCAAGCCTTTGTGACATATGGCACAACAGGATGATGATGCTATTGATGATGAGGTTATATGTATGTTGTTATGTATATGTTATTATTTTTGTTGTTATATATAAAATACTTTAACATGATCCCATTCATTGTCTCATGATGATGATCTGCACACTGACATTTGATACATTATTCTAATGTTATCCTTCATTATTCTTTGTAAACATGCTTGTTATGGTTAGTTTGATTCTTCCTAGAAAATGATTCCTAGGCTCAAAGGCAAAAACAATTGTTTTCAAAGGAAATTGTACACTACTTCTTGTCGCACTCTGAATGACCTGTCTCTACATGCTCAAGATAGAGCTTGTCTCCACATGGCATCTATCTCTAGACAGTTTTCAGTTTCTACCAGTGTTATTACTGTCTGTTTCTGAATATTATTTCTCCACCAGATCTTTAACATTTGTCAATCATCATTCTTGGGAAAACTACATGAAGTATATACTATTGGACACCCATTTGATCATAATACAAGTCTTTGCAAGTCCTTCTTGAAAGCTTGACCAGATGTAGCTAGCCAGCAACAGATATATTTCTAGAAGAAATAAAAGAAAGCAAGATTATATTGACAATCTCGATATTTTGCCTTGTAATTAAATCAGACGTTTTCTGTGTGTGAGTTCCATGGCCCATGGGTGGAAAAGGGGGAAGGTAGGGGGGTAATAGACCCACTGCCTTCCAACAAGCATGTAAAAGACCAATTAGGGCTGTTGCCTTCAAATTCAGAGTGGATCTGCAAGAGAGACCAACAGTTTGCATACAGATAAGCCAGATCTGTAAAATGGATGTGCACGCAAGTGGACATACATCCAGAACTTAATGCCTGTAGTTTATAGCTCGTGAAGAAGAAGAAGGAACAGCCGAATGTGGAAAAAAGACTGTCATTTTAGGTAAAATCCCATTGCACTGGAACCCATTCTCTTGCCTTTTTGTTTTGTTTAATTAATTTGAGAGGCATTTATGCTTTTGTTTTATGATCTCATTTCCCTTGCTTTCAGTTGTAAGTGGCCTGTGTGAGAAAAGCTGTCCGGGTGGACATTCTGTGAGTACTGATTTCACAAAATAAGCCAGCATTAGTTATATATATTCTGCATTAGTTATATATGTTTGGCATTAGTTATATATGTTCTGCATTAGTTATATATGTTTGGCATTAGTTATATATGTTCTTCATTAGTTATATATGTTTGGCATTAGTTATATATGTTCTGCATTAGTTATATATGTTTGGCATTAGTTATATATGTTTGGCATTAGTTATATATGTTCTGCATTAGTTATATATGTTTGGCATTAGTTATATATGTTCGGCATTAGTTATATATGTTTGGCATTAGTTATATATGTTCGGCATTAGTTATATATGTTCTGCATTAGTTATATATGTTCTGCATTAGTTATATATGTTCTGCATTAGTTATATATGTTTGGCATTAGTTATATATGTTCTGCATTAGTTATATATGTTTGGCATTAGTTATATATGTTCTGCATTAGTTATATATGTTCTGCATTAGTTATATATGTTCTATTTTTGTCTAAATGATGTGAGACATACATGTCCTTAAATACATGTGATGGCAACCGTGGTCCTAAAATCCCATTCTCTAATTGGGGACGACTTGTATTTAATGTCAGGGAGGTCTTGCTGATCTTACTGGCCATCACCATGGACTGTGTTTCCCATGCATCATTGTAGCACAATATAACACTTTCATTGGGAAAGACAGAGAGGTGCCAACTATATATGGATGAAATGTAACTGTTATGTATAGGTAGGTAGGTAGGTAGTTGTGCCCCACCAGGACATCACACAAGCGATTAACACCCCGTGACACAAAGTGCCACCATGTGGATGAGGATCACCCTGGAGAGATCCCAGAAACCCCTTTCAGCCGTTATGGCCAAATCTATAACCTAGGCCATATTTATGCCACGGCTATGTTCAGGGCTCCCGGCAGAAGCCAGGGTGGGGCTTCAAATAATAAAAAAATTGCATCCCACATGGGGACGACTTGATGATATATGTTTTATATGGTTCATTTTCTTATACACAGCATTATATAACTGACTCGGATTGTAGTAGCAAATTTGAATAGATGAACATTCTTGGATTCCTGAATGATCTCAACAACTGTCATGTGAAGACAGTGAAACATAATTAGCACAACAGCACAACTGTCATGTGTATACAGTTAAGACAGATTTATCACAACAACTGTCATGTGTATACAGTTAAGACAGATTTATCACAACAACTGTCATATGTATACAGTTAAGACAGATTTATCACAACAACTGTCATGTGTATACAGTTAAGAAAGATTTATCAACTGTCATGTGAGGGGGGTTAAACACAATTATCATAGTGATTTTGCAAAAGACAGGTATATCTAATTAGCGCAATGAGCTGATCTTTCTTGGGCATCTGTCTGTGTAGCTTCCAAAACTTTCCCAATGTCTTATCGTCCCCAATTTCATTATTAAAATGTTCCCATTTTGCTTTTTTGGCCTATGCTACACAGCGCTTGAAAACCTCTATCCTGTCTTTCTCTCTCTTTCCGCGCACTCCAATTCCTCCTTCATGCTTAGGGATGTTTGTTGCACTTTCTTTAATCGCTTTACTGGCATATGAAACAATTAAACACACTTATCACAACTGCCATGTGAAGACAGTTAAAACACTCATCACAGCAACTGTCCTGTGAAGACAGTTAAAACACTTATCACAGAAACTGCCATGTGACGACAGTTAAAACACTTATCACAGCAACTGTCATGTGAAGACAGTTAAAATATGTATCACAGCAACTGTCATGTGAAGACAGTTAAAACACTTATCACAGAAACTGCCATGTGAAGACAGTTAAAACACTTATCACAGCAACTGTCATGTGAAGACAGTTAAAATATGTATCACAGCAACTGTCATGTGAAGACAGTTAAAACACTTATCACAGAAACTGCCATGTGAAGACAGTTAAAACACTTATCACAGAAACTGCCATGTGAAGGCAGTTAAAACACTTATCACAGCAACTGTCATGTGAAGACAGTTAAAAGACTTATCACAACAACTGTCATGTGAAGATAGTTGAACATAATTAGCACAACAGCAGCAACTTTCATGTGAAGACAGTTAAAATATGTATCATAGCAACTGTCATGTGAAGACAGTTAAAACACTTATCACTGCAACTGTCATGTGAAGACAGTTAAAACACTTATCGCAGCAACTGTCATGTGAAGACAGTTAAAACACTTATCACAGCAACTGTCATGTGAAGACAGTTAAAACACTTATCACAGCAACTATCATGTGAAGACAGTTAAAACACTTATCACAGCAACTGTCATGTGAAGACAGTTAAAATAATTAGCACATCAGCAGCAGTTGCCGTGTGAAGAGAACCAAATTAGCAGGGGCTATTGATTTCATGCAGAAATAAGCCATTTTATATGGTGCACAAAACCTAGTCACAATTATAACCTAAAGCTCCTCCTTTGGAGATGCTGGTTGACTGACAATTTTGTTTCCAGCATAGCACCTACGTATCTATGTAAAGATGAACCCATCCCACCCTGTGATAGTATCTGCTGTGGGACTACCTTTGCATTCTGAAGTAACGGAGCCTTTTCCACACCTTCAGGCCTGCTGGGCATATAGGGCTAGACCTATATTTCATAGATCTATCCGCACTGGGTGGGTGATGTGGTCAGAATCACGCCGGCCAACTTTACTTCCCAGGACTGTACCTGGTATCCATTTAAGGCTGGGTTGACCTGGGAGCCAAGGTCAATTTTGAAATTATTCCAGCTCTGTCATGACCGTAACCCACGACCTGGGGCTGCTCACCCTTTGCTTTATAGCTGATGTTGAATTTTCATGGATTAAGTTCTTATTTTATTATTTACTACAAGTCACAGGCAAGTATTAGTAATAATTAAAACTGTTATCACATGATTCTTTACATAAATAAATGAAAATTGTCTGTCCCTACGGTGTAGGTTGGCTGCATTGTATCTATCCACCGCTACTATTACATAGGGAGGCTTTAGTTTCTTCCATAGTATGCCTCTCGTACAACTGTCTGAAAGTCTGGTTTTTACCTTCCAAGTCAGAGCGCATCTATCTCAGAGGAAACACTCAGGTTCTCAAACAAGTCTGAAGTCCAGATGTGAATGAACAGCCATAATTTTCTGCCTGAGTTTACAACCAGTGAATACGAAAAGAAGAAGAAGATTTATAGTATGTAACCATTTTATGGAAAAGTTTCCTATTCATTGAGATAGTTTTTGTTTATTTCTCAAGCCTTATGGTGTGAACCAGGTTGGTCCTACAGCTCGATATGATAGTGCAACAGCCACAGGAAGTGACCAGATTGGTGTAGGTATGTTGATATCATAAATATAACTGTGCCTACTTATATAGTTGTATCAAGTGAGCAGAGTATCCGTATCTCTGGGCAGAGTATCCGTATCTCTCTTTTCTCCCCTTTATACCTCAGTGGAGCATAGGCCTTCACTCAACCTATGCCAGGTCATCCTAGCGTCTGCTATCACCAGCAGCTTATCCCATGTCTTTTTAACTTCACACTCTAGTTTCCTTCTTGTTGGTTTTTTTTGGGGGAGGGGGGGTGGGGGGTTGTTTGCTAATATTTCTTTGGCCCTGTGTGTTCTGATGCAGGGATGATCTAGTTACATTGTTATTAGGTATTTTCATTGTGTCCTTACAATGATAACATCTTTTCCTCATCTCTTGATTCCTGGAAATGTGTTTAGTTATCTCCCAAAGCTCTACATTAATGATTCTATCATACCATTGTATTCCCTTTATTCTGAGCAGGGACTAATCCATGTCTGGAGGTATACTTAATCTGGAGTGAGTAGGGAGTGATTTTCAATGTGCAGTCTACAAGGTTTAGAAAAATTTAATTCTGGCCGTCAAAAAGCACAGCGAAGGAGTAAATCTTTTTCTGAATTAAAAAAAAAAGTAATGTCCTCAGTAAATTCAGCACACCAACCACATATACAATCGAATATGAAGAAATAGAAAATGTAACAGATTTTTAATACTTGGGCTCTTTAGTGAACAAAAGTGGCGACAGCTCGAAAGAAGTCAGAAGAAGACTTGCATTAGCAATGCAGAGATTAAACTGCATGAAGAACATATGGCAAAGTGCTAGTAAATTGGTTAAAGTAAAAATCTCGAGATCATGCATTTTTCCTGTGGCAATGAGTCCTGGACTCTTACTGAGTCACTGAGGAAAAAGATTAGAGCTTTTGAATTGAAATGTTATAGAAAAATTCTTAGAATACCATGGATAAAGAAGAGGAAAAACAAAGACATTCTAAATGTGTTGAACGTCAAGGAGAACTGGCTCATAAACAGCATCCAGTCCCGAAAGTTAAAGTATTTTGGCTACATTAAGCGTCCTGGTGGCTTGGAAAAGATGCTGATGGAGGGTGCCGTTTGTGGAAGGTGAGGCAGGGGTAGACCACCGTGAAGATGGATACGGGACATTGAAGAAGCATTGGCATTGACATGGGGCTGGAAAGCACAGCACATGGGGCTGGAAAGCTGGCTAGGGAAAGGGATACTTTCATTTGTGCCGTGAAGAGAGCGACGTTCTGTAAAAGACTTGCTGATTGATGATGAGGAGAAAATACCTTAAACTTTTAATCATTTGGCAACTGACACCATCAGTTATGGGAACTCTTTGCTGGCTCCTGAAGAAGGGGACAGAGCACATATGGAAATGTCTGGTGTGCAGTTATGTTCCCCATATGTTGGTTCCGGGGCCCTATTTTTGGGGGGAAACTATCACCCCCCCTTCTTCCTCCCCCCCCCCCTCCCCAAACCACAAGCATGTCATGAAAGGTGACTAATTAGAGGTAAACTGTGTGTGTGTGTGTGCGTGTGTGTGTTGTCCCTCAAGATGATGATGTCCACTCTTTTCCATCAAGAATGAGTATAAAGATGACTGATGAGGCCGATGTGGGCCCGAAAAGTTCTTGGACAGTGAGGACAGGGAATGAGCGTTGTGCCAGGGAGGAGATCTTCTGCAGTCGCCTTTCTATCCATCCTTTTCCTAATAAGTCTTGTTTTTCTGTTTGCTTCACATGTAGCCGCGCCCTTGTGTAGAGCTGCACGCCATGCATTTCGGTCTTGAGAGGCAACATCCCAATTGGTGTTATTCATCTCAAATGCTTTGAGTGAAGACTTCAAGGTGTCCTTAAAGCATTTCTTTTGCCCGCCTTGGGAACGTTTCCCATTTTGCAGCTCACCATAGAAGAGTTTTTTTGGGAGCCTGTGATCTGGCATGTGTGCCACATGACCAGCTCAACGAATTTAATACTGCATCAGTAGAGTGTGGATGCTGGGCATGGCTGCTTTCTCAAGGACTAAGAGGTAAACTACCTGCAATAGTGAAGGATAGAACGACTTTGTTGAGGACCTATGCTCAATTGGGGGGGGGGGGGGGATATAAGGCAGAAGAAGACCAAAGGGTTTGCTGAAATAAAATGTTTTAGGGCCACAAAGCAGATATTGCAGCCTAGCTGTAAAGCACAAAACATGCAAATGCAGAAGAAGATCCTTCATTTATTGTATAATTAATTGGTTTCTTTCTCCATCTCTGTATTTATCTTCAAGTGTCAGGCTTTGAAGAAAGTGCTCTGGTGGACTATTTCATTCATGTACAGCCTCAGATATAATTTTATCTGCAGCTTTGAATATTTTATCTTGTACAGCCTCAGAAAATATTTCATTTACAGCCTCAGTAGTCGGCGTCTGTGTCTTATGCGTTGCGAACGGGCTTCGTAATGTCTGGGTGTCAGGTTCGATGCCAGCTGCAAGCAATTTTTTGCCCAGCATTGGTTTCTGCAGTGGTATCGAAAGCCGATTGTTTAGTAAGCAGTAGCACACTACATAAAGTAAAATTTATCTAGAAAAACCACAACAGTTAAAAATTGCTGGGGTTGGTTCTCCAACGTCCTGTAGAGGATACACAACTAACTAACAGTTTCAGATATTCTATAACATTGGATATTCTGTATACAACCTCAGAGATTCTGTCATGTACAGCCTCAGAAACTGTGTCATTTACAACCTCAGATATTCTGTCATGTACAGCCTCAGAAACTATGTCATTTACAACCTCAGAGATTCTGTCATGTACAGCCTCAGAAACTGTGTCATTTACAACCTCAGAGATTCTGTCATGTACAGCCTCAGAAAGTGTGTCATTTACAACCTCAGATATTCTGTCATGTACAGCCTCAGAAACTGTGTCATTTACAACCTCAGAGATTCTGTCATGTACAGCCTCAAAAAGCGTGTCATTTATAACCTCAGATATTCTGTCATGTACAGCCTCAGAAAGTGTGTCATTTACAACCTCAGATATTCTGTCATGTACAACCTTAGAAAGTGTATCATTTACAGCCTCAGATATTCTTTCATGTACATGCTCAGAAAGTGTATCATTTACAACCTCAGATATTCTTTCATGTACAGCCTCAGAAAGTTTGTCATTTACAACCTCAGATATTCTGTCATGTACAGCTTCAGAAAATGTGTCATTTACAACCTAAGATTAAGATATTCTTTCATGTACAGCCTCAGATATTCTGTCATGTACAGCCACATATACTCTTTCATGTACAGCCTCAGATATTCTGTCATTTACAGCCTCAGATATTCTTTCATGGACAGCCTCAGAAAGTTTGTCATTTACAACCTCAGATATTCTGTCATGTACAGCTTCAGAAAATGTGTCATTTACAACCTAAGATTAAGATATTCTTTCATGTACAGCCTCAGATATTCTGTCATGTACAGCCACATATACTCTTTCATGTACAGCCTCAGATATTCTGTCATTTACAGCCTCAGATATTCTTTCATGGACAGCCTCAGAAAGTGTGTCATTTACAACCCCAGATATTCTGTCATGTACAGCCACAGATATTCTTTCATGTACAGCCTCAGATATTCTGTCATATACAGCCTCAGATAGTGTTCATTATCAGCCTCAGATATTCTGTCATGTTCAGCCTCAGATATTCTTTCATGTACAGCCTCAGAAAGTGCGTCATATACAACCTCAGATATTCTTTCATGTACAGCCTCAGGAAGTGTGTCATTTACAACCTCAGATATTCTTTCATGTACAGCCTTAGAAAGTGTGTCATTTACAGCCTCAGATATTCTTTCATGTACAGCCTCAGAAAGTGTTATTTACAACCTCAGATATTCTTTCATGTACAGCCTCAGAAAGTTTGTCATTTACAACCTCAGATATTCTGTCATGTACAGCCTCAGAAAGTTTGTCATTTACAATCTCAGATATTCTTTCATATACAGCCTCAGAAAGTGTGTCATTTACAGCCTCAGATATTCTTTCATGTACAGCCTCAGAAAGTTTGTCATTTACAACCTCAGATATTCTGTCATGTACAGCCTCAGAAAGTTTGTCATTTACAATCTCAGATATTCTTTCATATACAGCCTCAGAAAGTGTGTCATTTACAACCTCAGGTATTCTGTCATGTACAGCCTCAGAAAGTTTGTCATTTACAACCTCAGATATTCTTTCATGTACAGCCTCAGAAAGTGTGTCATTTACAACCTCAGATATTCTTTCATGTACAGCCTCATATATTCTGTCATGTACAGCCTCAGAAAATTTGTCATTTACAGCCTCATATATTCTTTCATGTACAGCCTCAAATAAACCAGATCTGTAAAACAGATTTGCGTGCAAAACTCAGGTTGAGGAGTAAGACTCAAGTCCAGAAGTGGATTAAAAAACCAGAACTTTCTGTCAGAGTTTACCGCAGGTGAACATGAAGACGAAGAAGAAGAAGATATACAGTTTCTAGAGCAGTCTAGAATGAACATTGTCCAAAAAATAAAATGGGACAAGTCGATGGTAACACTGCCTATAATCTGAACACATAAAAAAAGTAAAGGGCCCTTTTCCACGCCTTTCAGATGTTTTGGGTATTTAGGGTTAGACGTATGTTTTTTTTTGACTGCACCTGGTACCCACCTAAGGCTGGGTCGACCTGGGAGCCAAGGTCATTCTTTAAAAAAGTCCGGTTCTGCCAGGGAGCGAACCCACAACCTTCCGATCTGCAAATGAGCATCTAGCCACTATGCCACGGTGACAACCCAATCTGAACACATAGAATAAAAAATATTGTTGCACTGTATGTAGTCCAGTAATCCTTTGTTCCAGCCACACAGTTATCCCAGTCATCATACCTATCATTACAACTTCCATTCATGTTGTTTGGCTTGGGACAGACTCCAAACTTTGTTGATGAATTGCAAGTGGGCATACCATATTCTTCTGGCAAGGTGAGCATTATTCGTCTGATAGAT